CAATATTGACTGCAGTTTTTCTTAGATTGGAATGTCGTTGTTTTAAAGATCGATCTACGAACAGGCGGTTGTTCCAGTATCACGCCGCGTGTGCCGTCAGTAAACGCGTGTCGGCCGCCCCCCGTTGACCTTTTCTTATTGTCCTCGGCCCTCGCCGCGACAAGTCAGTACAGCCGCGAGTGAACCCCGGCCCCTGCTCGCGCCCCCTCCAAGGGCGCTGCTGCCTTCCATGCCTGATTTCCCTCTCCCTCCCCATCCACGCCGCTGGAGCCGCGCGCGCCGCGCCCTTCAGCGCGCGGCACTTGAACCGCGCGCGACCCTGTGACCCGTCGCGGGGGGCGGCGGCGAGTGTCCGTGTCCGGCCTGGCCCGAGGCCCGAGGCCCGAGGCCGACCAGGGCGTGCACCGCATCCCCGATCAGATGGAATAACTCTTTCGGGCGCCGCTCAGCTCTCCTCAGCTGACTGGCCGGCGGCGGCTCGGCTCATCCGCACGCCTGCGCCCGCCCGGCCCGGCCCGGCCCGCCATGCCGCTGTGCGAGACGGGCGCGCGGGGAGTCATTCCAGTTGAGAGGCACCCCCCCCCCTTTCCTCCCTCGGTCTCCTTTCCCTCGGCGGGGCTCTCAATGTCATGCAGAAGGTGAAGCGCCTCAGCCCCTTGGCAGTCGTGCCTCGCGTAAGGCATGCAAGCGGGCGGGTCGGGCCGGGTCGGGCCGGGTCGGGCCGGGGGTCGGACCCTCGAGCACAGCCTGCCCCCACGGCTCGCCCCCTGACACACGACCCAAGGCCCTTCTCCGCCAGCTTTGACAGAGTGCTATAGTTGCCCTTCACACTAACTGGATTTGTATCCTTTATTTATACGAAGTGAAAAAATCAATCTTTTCCATCGATTTCTGGGTTGATTTAGACACTTTTTTCACAGTCCCTTGTGGTCTGTCTCTACCCGAAGGTGAAAGTTTCCCGTTTTGATAAATATTTCCGGTTCTCGTTATCCAGTTGTGATAAAGGTTGCCAATCGGCGTTGATAGAGATCTGTCTTGCTATATTATATTTTGGGAGGCTGTGGGAAGGCTTTCTGTCCGTTTCCCGTCCTACGTTCCGTACCAAGCCCGGTGGCAGTCTCCTGTCATCGCTCTGCCGGAGTTTTTCATTGCATGTATATGTACGAAATCGTACAATTTTGCGCCCAAATTTGTGCAGATTGTAACGTAGAGTTTCACTAAGCACAAACATTTGTAAAGAAATCTTGCAAATACAGAAAGCGCGTTCGTCCTTTATGCCCGTTAAGGCCTTCTTTATTTTCGAATTTTGATTTTATACAGTTTAACTGCAGGTTATACGGGGGTATCCCACCATAGGCTCAGTACTTTTCTTCTGCTTTTACCTATCGCCGAGCCTATCGCCGTATACAGTACCACATGCAGATTTGCGGGCGGTCTTGCACCGAGAGAAGCTATTAGTCCGTATGACTAAATTCGTGTTGAAGGAAACAAAATTTACTCCCTAAATCCAATGAAACGTTTAATCGTTTAATCAAGCTTTTACAATTAAATGTGATCAGCCCAACCAAAAATATTGTCAGACTGATTACTTTATATCAACCTGACTAAATTATCCAATCAACACGATTAAAATTTGGTCGACGGAAACAAAATTTCGTTGGTTTTCTCAACACTAAATTTCGTTGAGTTGAACAATCAGTTTTCTGAGTGTGCCTCGAGGCTTGCCTGCCCACCCTCGCTCGGCGTGACGCTTTATGGTGCCGAGCGAGTAGACAACCCATCCACACGCCGTAGCGCGGATGCAGTGTAACCCCAAAATAGTGAACACGCTGTATTCTAAGGAAGAAGAGCGAAGGAAGCGTTTTGTGACGTGGGCGGGCGCGCTCGTTCACCTCACGCCCTTCCACTTATTACATACACCAAAAACTAACCCGGTCGGTACATCTGCCTCATTAAAAAGGAGACGGACCAACAAAAAGTCAGGTTCGCCCTCTCTTTCGCTCAAGCGTAGCAAAACACTTTGAATCGCGCAAGGTTAGTCAGAGCGGGCCGACCACGGGCGCGAGCTCACAGGGCTCTGCCGAGGATGCGAAGGAGACGTGGCGCGGCGGGCGAGCGGGGCGGAGAGGGAGGGGGGCGA